GGTAGTAGTTGTTGCAGGTTCAGTAGTTGGAGTATCGGTAGTAATTGTTGCAGGTTCAGTAGTTGGAGTATCGGTAGTAGTTGGAGTATCGGTAGTAGTTGTTGCAGTTTCAGTAGTTGGAGTACTGGTGGTAGTTGTTGTCGTTATTATTGGTCCTATAAACAGTCAGAATTAGATGTTATAACTCAGTTACACTGATTCAGTAAATTCAATTTAAAATGTGGCTTAAATGGTGAAGGGCTCTACTCACCGTTTGCAACAGTCACAGTGACACATCGAAGCTCTGAGTGATACTTGGTTCCACTGTAAAAATAAGTAAGTTTAATATAGGCCTCTGATGCCATGATATCTTCAAGTCACCTAAGCACTGATACTTTCTATCTTAATTGAGCATGCTTTTACGACATGGTGGTTTTCAAACTGGCTGCTTTCTAATACTTGCACCCCTTACTGTACCCCTTACTTATTTCTGGCGCCACTCCGAGCTGGCAGCCAGTATCAGCAGCTCCGACCTGACCGAGTCCTTTTTTCTCTTTTTTTATTGTTATTGTGTTTCTTGTTCTTGTTTTTTTTTATTTTATTTTTTATTGAGGGCTGTACTACTCTGCAACAGAGCTTAGAATTTTATGGACAATTGTTTTTTTTATCACATTTTTTTACGGCATCTGTTTCCGGAGAGCGCGTGGATGTCCAACCGCTCATTGTATACAGCAGGGATCAGCTGTTAGCCCTCAGCGCCGCTGCTGTTCTGCCTAGCGCCAAGTGAGCCAGCATCCCCCGCGACGTGAGGAGGATGAGACGCGGCACTTGGGCCGGGATCGGGCGTCGCAGTAAGGTTAGGAGGTACCAGCCTGCGATTCCATCTGTTATTATGGGGAATGTGAGATTGCTCCCCAAAAAAGTGGATGAACTGGCGGCTCTAACCCGACATCAGCGGAGCTACAGGGAGTGCAGCCTGATGTGCTTCACAGAGTCGTGGCTAACCGCGCTAAATCCGGACTCATACATAAACATTGTTTTCATCTGATCCAGGTCAACAGAACAATGAAGAGTGGTAAGAAGAGAGGAGGGGGTCTGGCTGTGTTTGTGAACGATAGATGGTGTAACTCTGGGCATTTATCTATCAAAGAGACACTATGCTGTAAGGACATTGAGCTGCTAGCAGTTAGCATGAGACCGTACTATTTATCGCGAGAGTTTACACACGTCATTATGATAGCTGTGTATGTCCTGCCCTCTGCTAACGCTGCAGCAGCCCTTGAGGTCCTGCACACTGTAACCAGCAGACTCCAAACACAGCACCCTCAGTCCCTTTTCCTGATCTCTGGGGACTTTAATCACATCACCCTGTCTTTCACAACCTGGATCATCTCCAGCCTGTGTATAAACCTCTAGTACACAGAGAACCAGTTGTGAAACACACAGTTAGGAAATGGTCGGCAGAGACTGAAGAGGCCCTGAGGGATTGTTTCCATTCTACTGTGTGGGACAACCTCTGCAGCCCTTTGGAGGTTGACCTCAACAGCATCACATACTGCATTACAGATTACATGAACTTCTGTGTGGACAACACTGTACCCATCATAAAGGTACGGTGTTTTTCTAACAACAAGCCATGGATAAATCCTGAAATTAAGGCTCTCCTCGAGGAGAAGAACAGAGTCTTTAGATCTGGAGAAAAACAGGAGCTGAGAGTTGTCCAGAAGAAGCTGAAATTTTATTATTATTAACCTTTATTTAACCAGAAAAAGTCCCATTGAGATTAAAAACCTCTTTTTCAAGGGAGTCCTGGCCAAGAGGCGACAACATGTTGAAATTACAAAGTTACATACATATAAGTAACAATTACATTTTAGAAACATTTTTCTCTGGCTCTCTCAATCTGGACTTAAAAGCATTTAATGAAATAAGATCTGCTATTTT